TGCTCACTTACCTTACAGACACTTGTACTTGTAATGTGTCTAAATTACAGTGCAAGTAACTTTGGGTAAATCTGCCATCACGCCCCTGGAACAACTGCAGCACACTACACCAGAGCTGTAATGCAATTTGTGAAATATCCCTCTCCTTCCTTAATTTTAAATTGTTCATTACATTTCCAATTTGTTTTACTCTTCCTATTCACATAAAGTCCAAATAGTATACATCATCAAGGACTAGGAATAAGTTGTTCAATGTGTGATCAATTCTGTCTGGTTCAAAGAAAAGTTTAAAAAATTCAAGCAAATATAAGTATTAAAAGAAGATTCACTGACAAAGTATTTAATTACTGTCATTGTAACTACAGAGTGATGTCTCATTAAAAGAGGTAGAGAATGGACAGGGTAAGAAATGTCAAGAAACGGTTAAGCAAGGCTACATAGGGGATAATATCTGCATCCTATCTGAAGGCAGACACTATTTCTTCTGAACTATTTCTAGAGATTTGGAATGAACCTCCGTTACTTAAGCCACATGCCCCAGAATGTGCTTTCCCTCAAAACACTTGAGCAGATGGGATGACTAAAGACCATCTTTCTGCACTGGGATATTGTAATGACAGAAGTCATACATGATATTGTTGTCAATAGTAAAGTGATGTTTGCAACATCACTCATTACAGCTGCACTGCATCACGAACAGTCTAAGGCAAAGGTATAACGCAAGCAACATGATGTAACTACCTTAACTGTTTTTACACCCTCCTTTTAGTTAGTAAAGAGCCCCTAAGGTGGATAGGAACAAGCACCCTTGGTAGTTATCCGTATCACCGCGCAATGCACATTAAAGGCAAAGCCCTTTTCAGCTATGCAAACAAGAACTCCCTTTTAAATTTTAACATGTTTTTTAAAGCCTTTCAGTAGAGATACAGTAAGAGCACATTTCCATTCCCAGTTTGGGCTTGGGCAATCCTGTAGCTCCGAGTCACTGGCACAGGTCAAACTCGTTCAACCACGTATGTTGAACCACAAAAGAAAAAGAAACTTTTCATTTTTAAGTATGTTTGTGTGCTCTCAAGCATCTGATAAAGGTGTGGGATTTTGTCTCATGTTGCTACACACACTAAACAAACCAAAAGACTATTATTGCATAACACTTCAGTATAATTTCTTCAAAAGGTTACAACAACCTTTCCAGCAATCAACATGTAGCAAGTACTTACCTTTAGCTCAAAATAAAGTCCTAAGTATTTAAAGAGTTATCAACTCCATTTGTTTCTTCCTCACTTTCTTAAAGATATACCAGAAATGCAAGACTAATCCAATCTTAATTTCACATCACTAGTCAATCTTCACATTCTTCAGGTAACTCTCGTCTTTCTGTGATTCCATGTCATTTGGAAAAAACATTTCTCTACATTAGCTGTTGTCAGTCCATAATGAAGTTAGTAATCATTGCTACAGAATACGCCTTAAAATCTTCCAAATTCCTATTAACTTGGTAGAGAATAAACCAGGCATACCTTGATACAGTAACAGCTCAGCAGGTGAATGAATAACAGAAGCAGGTTGTAAGAGCCTGACTGAGAGACGGAGGCTTCAGATGGCTCTTAAAATGCTGTTTATTGCATACACAGGTTACAGCAGTTGAGGGTCATGGGTGAGCCTATAGCTGCTGGATAGGCAAGCTGTGTGTCCTGAAGCCCAATTCTATTCATGTTACAAAGCATTATAACTCTTTCTCTGCTGTGCATTTTGTTACATAACAACCAATCAACATCATACACAATACCTTTTACATTTACATATAACCTAACATAACTACTAGCATTACCATATTCATGTTACTATATTCCAATCACAAAAGGTTAGTGTGTTACAGTTTAAGCTCAAAGTTGTTTTTCAGTTTTCTTGCAGTGTAAAATTCTGAGATCTTTTCTCTACTTGCAACATTGGCTTTCTTGTTTGCCTGTGAAAATCCTTTTGTTTGGAAAAAACATGTTTTGTTTGAGGTGGATTTGTCCTTTGCTGTAAGTCATAAAAGCCCCTTCCAACTCACTTGCTCTTTGTCTTTTAGTTACCCAGTAAGACTGACTCAGCTATTCTTTTCTTCTGTATCAAAACTTGCTTTCATTTCTATAGAACCTTCTGTGTATCTGCAAAACTTTTCTGTTAAATTTTCATCCTTCCCAACAGCAGGTAGCAGAGGAATAACAGAAATCAGGGAAGGTTAAAGAAGGAGCCCACAAGATTTAATCTTCTAAATACAGAAAAACATTTTTCTAATTACAAGCAACCTGGAGGATTTTGCCAGAATGTCAGTAAGTCCATTCCACATATCAAGTATCAGTTCACTCAAGCCCATCTGAAAATTGACTCGTGCAAAGTCTCACCCCTACAGACAGAAGTGCTTGGTAGAGCTTGACTCAAAGAAGTTCTGTGTGCTAAACTATGTCTGTAATTAGAATTCAGAGACCAGATACACTGGTGTATCACTAAGGCTACATTTCTACAGTATTTCTAAACACTGTAGAAATTTATACTTAAAAAAAACCAAAACAGTAAAATGAAGGAAAGTACTATGAAGTATAAAACTCAAAGAGATTAGTAACATGCAGAGATGAAAAAGCATAAAAGCCTACAAGGAAAGCAAGTATACCTGCTAATAATCTTACCAGGAAGGGAAACTCTGGATATTGGCAACAAAGACGAAAGGATTTGACACAGCAGACAAATATTTTTTACACATTGGGTATTCTTATCTTTAAGAATGTAGAAATATTTTTTTTATCAACAGGCCAACACAAAAATACAGGCTAACTGAGGGAGCACATGGAAAGGGACAGGGAAACTAGCAATAAAATTAAATAAGCATGGCACAAACAGTGGTACAGACTACCAGGAGTTCTCATTCTGCTGCCATATGCTGCGTCTAATCCACTACAGAAGCCCACGATTACCTAGGTCTACATCACACACACAAGATATATTACTTACCTTTGGGTCCATCCGCCAGACAAAAGACTAACCCCAGCCGTGGAACCTGCCTTCAGCCTTGCTCTCACACATCCCAGTGACACATTATGTAACTTGGCACCAATAAAGGAACACAAAAAGCAATCAACCACCCAATTACGAATCAGTTGGATAAGTCCACATCTACTCATGAACTGAAAGACAACAAAGTTCACATCTAAACTCCTTACAAACTCCTGTGCCTGCGTGATCTGAAGTAAAGAAAACCTACCAGTCAGAAGATGATACTCATTGGTAAAGTTCAAGAAATAAAGATAATACAAAAAGAAAAAAAACAGATCTGCGAACCTGCTATTGTTTCTTCTTTAGTTCTGAATTAGTTCCAGGATTTGCAAAGATCCCTCTGTTTACTTCTCCGATGAGAAATGCAAGTCAATCCATTAAAAACAAAACAAATGAACACAAACATTACAGAACAGATGACCCATACTAAAAACTCTAGAAACAGAGAGCACTTGGTCATGGTTTGCAGTTCATTCCAGAACATGACTAGCACTGGAAGAAGAAGTAACTACTGTTTCCTTAGTTCTTAATCTTCAGTAAACATATACATTTTATAGCCAGCTGGCCAGCAGAACAAACAATGTCTAATTTTAAGGAATTAATCAGCTACATCAGTATTTAAAAAAAAAAAAAAAAAAGAGAGAGAAAAAAAAAGTACAAGGAAATAGAAACCTACAAAGCTTTTTGCTTTGCAATCAAGTATAGAGTTCCCATCCAATGGGACTAAGCATCTGAATTTTCTTTGGTCATCTCATAAAGCTTCTTAATATTTCAGTCGGTCTAGGGGAAGCAGGGGTTGCCAGGAGAAGACATCTTCAGTCTCACAGCTCATGACTGGAAGTTCCTTAGTACAAAATATAGGCCAGCAGAGGAAGGAGGACATTTAAGTTCCCCTTTTCCTTCCTGCAACTATTAAATTTTCAGAGCGGAAGTAACGCAGTACTTGTCAGCCTAGCTGAATTCAAGATGATGAAGTTTTTGATGTGAACATGGTGTAAACCAGACTTCTGTCAGATTCAAACCATATTTCAGTCCTAAGCCTGACTGTGACAGTACACATATTATTCTTGTCTTCCTTCCCTTCTTCACAGGAATATGCATAAAGATGAAACAATACTGAAAGGCAACAAACATGGCTGCAGAGCACATCACTTGCTTATGTAGTCTCTGAAACTCTCTCTCCAGAGTCTGTCTCTTCCAAAGCACTAGAAGGGTATTCTCTTGTAGCACCCTACTGTTATTTTGGACTCCACTTTTATCACAAAATTTAAGAGTTCCAGCTTTGTATCTCACAAACCTGACTACCCAAAATGTAGGGCCTCATCCAAATACCTACTGGAGAGACACTGCCCCTGTATTCTAAGAGTTAAGTCAGGGCAAATCAAAGCACCATAAGCAATCATCACCTTTCATTCAGCTGGTTACATGAGAGGTTCTGCACACTGAGGTATCAGTGGCCACCTGTCACTTTATTAGTGACAATCAAGCCACATGCAACCTAGAAATTCCCAGTCTAGCCCATTAACTCTACGTTGCACAGGATTCCCAGCACAGCCTCTTACACAAGTCCGTATCTTCCAGTCCAGGCCACGGAAACCTCAGTTTAACCTCAGCCAGCCCTTCATCTGACCAGCTCCTAATGTGCTTCACCAGTGACACAAGGTGTAACTGCTCAGGCAGTACGGCACAGAGAGCATCAGCTGCTTGCCCCACGTTAATTCTGCAAAACTGAGCGCTGCCTTTGGGCACACTGCTACAGGACAGACCCAGAGGGGAAGACTTGTTAGTGCCACCAGCAGCCCCCAGTAGAAGCCCTCCCACACCAGCCTTTGCACTGGGCAGCTCTCACCGCAGGGACATGAAGCCAACACTTTGGGAACAGCTGTCCACGGCACCCAGAGCATTCCCCTCCCGGCACTGCTTCCCCCTCGGGAAAAGAGCGGGTGGGAAGGGCGGCCTCTCACCTGGAGGAGCACGGCCAGCAGGACACACAGGTATACCTGGTAAGGGCCCATCTGCCCCACCAGCGAGAACGCCTCCTCCACCTCCATCCCGCTCCCCGCACGCCGCACAGCTCCTACAAGCGGCCGCCGAGCAGGGCATCCCCGGGGGCGGGGCGGGGCGCGGCGCGGCGCGGCGGCCGGGCCCTCGCGGAGCTGGAGCAGAACGAGAGAGAGGAGGAAAAGGAGGAGAAGGACAAGAAGAAGAAGGGCGGGAGGCGCGATGTGGTGCTCCTGCGCAGGCTCCGGGGAGAGGAGCCAGGATGCTGCCGCCTCCCTCCTTTCCGGGCGGCCGCCGGGAAAGCGGAAACGCATGCGGCCTCAGCGCAGGCGCATGGCCGGATTCCGTGGTTTGGGATGGGCGTTGTGCTGCTGTGTGAGAGCGCTGTCATGGAGGAAGCGCCGAGGTGCCTCGGGCCAGGTCACTGACAGTGAGCGGGCTCGGCACTGGGGAGCTGGGTGCGAGGTGCAGGGGCGATGTTCCTCCTGAGGTCACACCTGGGCACAGCTCTCGGGAAGGGGAAAGGGCACAGAGGTGCTGTTTGTGGACCCTTGGTTAGAGCAGGGCAGCACGCTGGCCCTGCGTGCTGGGCAAGAAGGCTGCACTGGGTCCATGCTGGCGAAGTGTTCCGGGTTCTATGGCACTGTCCATGCAGCAGCTGGGCTCCCATCGCCCACTTTCATCCAGCAAAGCACAGTGGAGTCATAGTGTGCGCTCAGGGGGTTCGCACCCTACTATGCCTGGGAAGCCGTACCCACATAGTGCACGCTGCTTAAGTTCTGTCAGCTCACAGCGGACCCCAAAATGCTGACACACCTCAGCTGTGGAATATTCTGTAATGATACTTCATAGCCTACCTGCCGATAGTTGGGAATAAAAAAAAAAAAAAAAAAAAAAAAGCCGAATTTGGCATAAGGCTATTGTGTAGGTGCCACTAGGGGTCAGTTCTGGACCCACACAAATCTTACTGTTCTTCATTTAATGCCTGGTGAGGACGTGCCTCTCTCCATTATACCAGTCTCCACAAAACTCTAGTTGTAGTGTATTTTATTAAAAGAATTTTGAGAGCCTTCATTGTGAACATGGGGTAGAAGTTCTCAGAAGTGATGGGACTGGTTTGGAAAGGAGCATGAACTACTGCATAGAGAAGGGAAGGGAGATAAATACAAGTAAAATAGTCATCCTTCAAAATGGCAATGAACTTCTCATGGTACATTTTCATTACGTCTTTACAATAAAGCTCCAGGAACACGAAACAACTTAGATTGTTGAGGCTTCTTTTATCTAGTGGTACTGAGAAGCAGCAGAAACATCTTTATGCTTTTAGCTTTTATTGTATGAACAATAGAAAGGAAGAGAGTTGTGAGCTGTGACCTTTAGGACCATGCAAGGATCTTGGGAAATAATACCATTTCTGTGCTGAAAAAATCTTGGCAAGTCGACAATCATCACAGCAATTTACTCTTAAAATGAAATTCACCTTTGCCCTAAGCACTTCTTTTCATATTTGAGGCTTAGTACAGATTGATTAAAGGCAAAACAGCAAAGGATTTCTGAAATGTCAGGACCTTTCTGCTGTTCACCCAAATGCACTTATTTTATTACTCAGCTAGGATGTGGAGGACATGACCTTATATTTGGGAGCTCTGCACTCATCTCCCCTGTATCCCTCTCACTCTTGCCAGTTCAGCCACACTCTGTGGCAACCACAACTTTATTCCAGCTTGTCCAGCAACAGGGAGCTTTACCATCCATGCCCAGCTCCTCCTTGACTCTTGAGCAAAGGTGAACAGACCCTAGGGAAGGAGGTGGTACGTGGCTCCCTGTCAGGATGGTACTGCCTCATGAATTGCTGTGTTCACCCTGCATTCCCCAGGCACTTCTCATCTCTGTCTCATTTAGAACCTCCAGCACTGTTGCCTGAGGGTTTTCCTCCCTATGCTCCCTGCTTGCTTACTCCAGGCTCTGCCTGCTATATGGGCAGCAATTAAGATCTGTCAGCTTTCTGTATTCACCTCCATGGGGTGCTGCCTTCCAGATGATGTTTCTGCCCTGCTCCTACCATGCCTCTGCTGAGATAACACCTCTGACTCACGAAGCTTCCAGTCCCGACCATAGTGAAGTTACAGCATTGGCATTACATGTATCAACACCGTGCAACAATGCCCTGTGCGTGGGGAAAACAGCTGTCGGGGAGCTGTCTCCTCTTGTGCTGCTGCTTTCCAAACTGAGTCCAGCAGAGAACCATGAAGGTGACTAAGGGACTGGAGCATCTGTCCTGTGAGGAAAGGCTAAGAGCTGGGACTGTCTAGCCTAAAGCTAAGCAGGCTCAGGGAAGAACTTCACAATGTGTGTAAATAACCTGATGGAAAGGAATGAAGAGGAGGAGCCCAGGCTCTTCTCAGTGCTGCCTTCCAACAGGACAAGAGGCAATGGGAACAAGTTAAAAAAACCTCACTGGCAATGAAAGGCCACTGTCCCAGGAGGCTAGTGGTTTTGGAGAGCAATGGATGCAATGTTTAGAGGTTTTAGTCAACAATAGCACTGCACTCAGCCAATGATCTGTCCTTGCTGGAGCCCTCAGATCTTCCCAGAGAATTATTGTCTGTGAAGTTCATTAATGTACAATTTTCTCCCTCCTCCTTCTCATTAATAACCAATATTAAAATAAGAATACTCTTAATAATCCTGTCTGTAGGGAATTTTTCTTTTAATGAGAGCAAATCAGGCTTCTTACTCAATCTTTCTGAAATAATAGTTCCAGATACATTCTGCCCTTTTCTGTCTGTATGTAATGATGACCTAGAGCATATAAAGTACTAGATATATGTAAATGCAAAGGGATAACCCTAAGCTATGTTAAAAAAAAAAGTAAGTAAAAAAGAAATTTGGTATCTTAGAGCTTTAGAGCTAAAAACTCATTCAACTCATTCTGCTTCACTGATGTTGTATTTCCAGATTTACTATATTAATTTGTAGTAGATTCTGATAATGGCTGGTATTCCAGCCATTTCAATGGTTTCCTTGGAAACACAAGCAACAGTAGTTTTAAAAAAGACCTTAAAAGAACTTAAAAGAACTTTTGATGTTCCTACGTTCTGGCTGGGCATTTCTTACCCATTCAAAGGTATCCACACAAATTGTTGATTCAAAAGTTGGCACAGATGAGATCTAAAGAAGTTCTGTTCCTGATGGAGGAAGTTTCAGGCCATCCATGAGTGGCTATTGTGAGTTAGATGTGAAACTCTGTAGCCAGGCTACTGTAGATGACAGAAGAGAAGTGGGTTTGAGTGAAGGATCAACAAGTACTAACAAGTAAAAAATTCCTCAGAGGTTTATCTAAAAAAGGAAACACTTCTGACGCTGAAAAGTCCCCAGGAAACAAATTGTTCAAAGCTAATATCTGAAGGAAATATTTACCCTCTCTTGTGATACTCCTGTGTAGGCATTAGCTTTTGGCCACAGCAAGAGATGGCATTTGGGCCAGAAAGGACATTTGCAGTCCTGTTGCCACTTTTGTGATCTTGCACTTCATTAGGTTCCCATTCACCTGTGGCCTACATCCCCGTACCTCACAGGAGGTTTCCACCACATCAGCTGAACTGAATGCTGAACACTGAATGGCAAAATACTGAGGTCTGACTGTGGCAGTGAGAATGGCAGCTGTGGGAAGAGTGGTGAAAATCTCTTCCACAGGAATATTAAAGGGTTATGGTTTATAAAACCTGTTACTATTAAACAAGCCCAGAGCTAAGAAGGGGTCTCTCCTTTAGCGTGAAAATAAAGCAGAAGTTCTCTTGATCTCAACTTCATTTGGTCCACAAAATGATGACACAAGCAGTCAGAGGGTTGACAGCATCTGCCAGAATGCTTGTCTTTGCTGGCCCCCTGTTACAGAAAATGAAGATTTTTTTTTTCCAGCCAGACTAATCAGCTGCTCGTTGCAGCTGGCTTACCCCATAATACTATGCAAAGCTAGCATATGGCTCATTACAATATACCCTGACTTAGTGTGCAGCCAAACAATCCACCAAGGCATTTTTGCTTCTCTGATGTGTTGTTTGTACTTTTTGCAAACAAAGCAACAAACAATTCCTTTGGAGGCACGTTTCAATTTTAGATGAGGCTTGGGGATACTGAATTTCTGTCTGAACTGTGGATGATGTTAAAAGCTGATTCCCTATCCCTTCCTAGATGGACAGTTGTCTGTTGCAAAACAGGTCCAGTTCAGATTCCTGAGAAATCTGAGCTTGCTCACATATCATGTATCTCTGGCAGTGGATAATTGCTCTCGGGATGTCTCCCCTGGTCACATCTGTGTCCAACACCTTCTTGGCCAGCAGCCTCTGTAACTCTCAGTCCTGCTCAGTTTCCCATCATTTAGACGTTGCTTGCAGTGTCCATGCTGGAATGGGAGCTCTGCTCTCATCACAAACACCGTCAGGGGTTTCAGGTTGAGCAAAGGAGTTTGTGGAGCACACCTCTGTGCTTAAACATACTAAAATCTTACACATTAATGAAAAAGAAAAAAACAAGAATAGTCTTAAGAAGCAGGATTGGCCTCCCAGCAGTGACTGGGACAGAGATAACAGTGTTGAACATAAAGGTGAGTGAGTGCTTGTACTTGTAAATGGCTCTTTTGAAGAGTTGAGCCACACTGCCTTTGAGATAACTCATGTGTTCTCTGTAGGCACTTTTCTTTCCAAGCAGTCATAATTGGCTGCAGTACTGCTCATAATCTTGACATTTACACCATTTATTCTCTGCCATATCACCAGCATGCAAAAGACTTGTTTGGACCATGTTACTTGCTCTGGAGACTGATGAAGATCCTATAGAAGTAAGCAGAAGCACTTACAGGTAGTTTTTCTGGCAGAGGCAACAGCAGTCTGGATTTGGAGGCAGAGAGGGCATTCAGCAAGTGATATCTTTTTCCCAATTCCCTCAAAATGCAAAAAGTAAGGATAACCCCATGGATTTCAGCAGCTATTTCTATCCCAGGTGTGCCATGTAGTGCAGTACTGGTGTTCTGCTCAGTATGTTTGAGCCCCCATTAAATTTCTTAAT